GTCCAGCTGGCAGCCATTAGCGCCAAGAGCTAAAGAAATTATACATATGGAGGGTATCAGTGATGTCACTGGTCTCTAGTAAATGGAAAGATGGCATTCCCATACATATGGAGGGTGTGGGTGATGTCACTGGTCTCTAGTAAATGGATAGGCGGCATTCCCATACATGTAGAGTGTATCAGTGATGTCACTGGTCTCTAATGAATGGATAGGCGGCATTCCCATACATATGGAGTGTATCAGTGATGTCACTGGTCTCTAATGAATGGATGGGCTATGTTCTCATAAATATGAAGCATCTTGGTGATGTCACTGGTCTCTTCTACATGGCTAAACTATCACATTGTGAACTGCCTGTGGTCTAGTGAATGGATAGGTCGTGTTCTCATCAGGGGCGTCCCGAGGCCAGGTGTCATGGCGCGCGTGCGCCAATCTGATTGATGCCTGCCGGCGGCCATCTTGGTGATGGACGCCGGCAGAGAGAGGAGGGGACGTTCACCCTCATCCTGCCGGGTCCCCTCCACTCTCCATGACCGAGTGCCTGACTTTTTAGAGCGGGTGACACCAAGTCATTTTGGTGTCACCCCTGCAATGGTGTCACCCGGGTGCGAGCCACTGGTTCTCATATATATATGGAGTGTATCATTGATTTCAAGGTCTCTAGTAAATGGATAGGCCATATCAGTGTGCGCAGCGCTTCACAATATAAGGAAGACAATACAAATCAAGACAAGATGAAGCATCTTGGGGATGTCACTGGTCTCTATTAAATGGGGAAGCTGCCATATTATGAACTGTGAATGGGTAGGCTGTGTTCTTCATACATGAAGATTCTCACTGATGTCACTGGTCTCTAATGAATAGATATGATGTTGTATCCTCATGAATATTAGTGTCTTGGTGATGTCACTGGTCTTTAGTGAATGGAGAGGCTGTTCTCATATATATGGAGTGTATCAGTGATGTCTAGCCAATGGATAGGCTGCGGTCTTATGAATATGAAGTGTCTCTCACTTATCTTTGTTGAATGGATAGGCTGCAGTCTCATGAACATGAAATGTCTTAGTGATGTCACCAGTCTCTAGCCAATGGATAGACTCTAATGATTCTGAGGAAGGGGGCTTGCCCCTGAAACGCGTCAATCTTGGCTGACTGCGCTCGGTGGACGGTGATGTGACCGGATACTACCGTGTTACATAGTCGGGGGGATACCATGTTGGGTCAACAGACAGTGTGGCCTCTCGCTTGTTGTTAAAGCCTGGTGAAAACGTTTGTTTGTGAGTACTTTTATCCCTTGTTTTATTTATTGTAATAAACGATTTTACACACGGAGGTGGCGCTCTGTTCCCTTTTGTTTTCTATGTACGTGGTGGAAGCCCCAGAGCCTTGGATGAGCAGCCCCTCAAGTCTGTGTAAAAAAAACTGTGATAAACTGTTGAAAACTTTGAGTGAGCAACAGCAAGTGGATTGTCCAGCTGGCAGCCATTAGCGCCAAGAGCTAAAGAAAACTTTTTGTCAATGGATAGACTCTGTTCCTATGACTATGAAGCGTCTTATTAATGTCACTGGTCTTCAGTAAAAGGAAAGGCTGAGGTTCTCATGAATATGAAGCAACTCGGTGATGTCATTGGGCTCCAGGGAATAGGTGGAATTCTCTAGAATATACTGTAGATGTCATATCATCGGCCTCTGGTGGACGGATCAACAGCTCTTTTGTGAATATGAAGTAACTCTGTATTTCCTGGAAATGGGATAGACTGTGTTTTCCAATGATGCCTCCGATAGAGGGACAGATTACTTGCTAATGGCTAAAAAGCATTTTTATAATGACTCCACTCTCCAGCCAATTGACTAATTAGGATACAGACGACTGTGGTCAAGTTGTATTCTCATAATATTGAAAAATAAAACATCTCAGTGACATCACTCACGTTAAGTGGACTTGCTGGCCAAAGAGAAAAAAGATGAAAATAAATATATATGTGTGTGTGTATATATATATATAT